GAAGGGAAAGGAGGATCGCGGGCGCGTGACTGGTCACATCTCGATTCGATGCGCCATGGTCGCATCCATGGAAACGTAGCCAAAGACCGGTCTGGTCTCTCTCGGTCTAACTCGGTCGCAACAGTGTGAACGGCGCTTAAGACCGAGAGAGACCAGACCGGTTTTTAAGCCTTTTGCGACTTCTTAGGACCATCGCCGCTGCAGCGGAGCTGGTCCTAAGAAGTCGCAAGAGGCTTATAGGCTGAGTTTACATGGATGCGATCGTAGCGAATCGAATCGAGATTAACCGCCTATGATTGGGTAGACGAGGAAGGGAAAGGAGGATCGCGGGCGCGTGACTGGTCACATCTCGATTCGATGCGCCATGGTCGCATCCATGGAAACGTAGCCATAGAGACATTTGGGTCTCGGTGTGCGAGCGGCTAATCTGCTGTGTTCCCGCGTCTTTTGGGCAAACAAGACGAGAGAGATGCCTGGGCCGGGGTGTGACCACGTGGGAGGTTCGCGTCCGGTGAGACTGCAGAGACGTCCCGCAGTGACGAGGGTGGCCTTTCCCCTTGCGGGACGTTGGCCAGGGGGATCCTCGCCACTTCATGGGGCTACATTAGCCGGTGCTCGGAGTCCTTCTCAGAGACCCGAACCGAAAGATGACGATGTAAATATTGCCGTGTATAAACGTCTTCTACCCTTCGTGAACGACGCACTTCAGCCTCCTCGGAGTCCCCGCGCTTGGAAGTGGGGGGATGCTCCTCCCGGAACCATATGACCACGCTCTCGCTCCTTCACGCTGTGCGGGGGGAGAGGGCTGCCGCCGACGTGCCGAGATACCGGATTTGCCGAGACAGCGGAGACGTCTGTCGACGCTGTCTCGAAAGCTGCCCACGACGATAGATCATCATCATCATCATCATTTATGATGATGATGATGGCGGGAGTCATCCCTCCCATTTCAAAAAAGAAAAAAAAAGAGAAAAACATTAGTGCGCACATCTAGCCGTTCCACCTGCGTAAAAGTTGATGGCGCCAAAGCCATCGAATTTTCGCAGAGTAAGGTGTGTTCCATAGTAAAGTATTCGCGTGGTTTCCATGCATGGTAGGCGCCATAAGTAGGCGCATGCTTTGTCTTCTGGGTAGCATTAAAGTCACCGGATCTTGTGAAAGTAGCGCCCTTCCCTGCCTGCTAGCCGGACACAAAGGACACGAACAGCTACTAACATGCAGACGACCAAACCTAGCAAGCTACCCGTCCCCAGCGAATTTGAATCAGTTCACCAGGAATGGACAGGTCAAGGAAAGAACAGCTCATTTCATGAACCAAAATGGCAACCATACGGGGAGCTGTCAAGCCGAGACTGCAGTGAATGCTACAAGCACGATAGCTCGAGGTGGCCGCTTTGAAGCGTTCTTCCGCAGAACGAGCACTCGCGCTAGAAATGCACGCCCGAAGGCTAGGAGCGCGGGCTAGCTCGTGCTTGTAGCATTGCCTGTAGTCTCAGCTTAATTAAGCGTTGCTCCATGCGCTGCGTTTCCTAAGCGTCACTGGCTGGGTTTACATGAATGCGATCGTAACGCATCTAATCGAGCAGGCACCAATTGCACGTATTCTGTCTCTCCACTTCTTTCTCTTCTGCCCATCTACTACCACTTAATGTAGCCAAATACCGATTTGATGCGCTACGGTCGCATCCATGTAAACGCAGCCAGTGACTGTTCTCACTAAAAAAAAATGGCAGCGATTTTTGCTTTTAAAGTTTCTACGATGCATGAAATGCGGTGTTTAAGAAGTAGTCATTTTAATTTGTGACTATATACAGTCTTGTACGGTATAGGCCACATCACGTTGGGTCACGTGACGTCAATTTCCCCGCCAAATTTAGCGGGGAAACTGAATTTGTGTATAGGTCACATGACGTCAGGTCACGTCTCATCAATTTCCCCGCTAAAAGTAGCAGGAAATGCGCGAACGAGCGGTCGCACGGACAAACAGACGAAATTTTGGGATTGGAGTGGAAGGGGGGAGCGGTAAAAACATTTCATGCTTAAAAAAAAAAATGTCTGTGAGTTTTGTTTTTTGCAGAGCTCGAGGGACAGCTAACCATTTCAAACAATAGAGGGATCCCACCGAATGAAGAAGTTCAAAATAAGATTAGACACACACAAACAACATATGACATGCGCACTGCAGGGTCGGTGGGCATGACGTTACATTCGCTCATTATCCCCGCGAACAATGCATTTTTGAGTTTTAATCGTTAGTTGAGCTACGTCCTTCGCTGGAACTCTGCTGCTCATCGCGGTTTGCTGCCTCCGTGTTGTGCAAGAAAGTAAACTCACGGCAGGGTTAGGCAAAGATACTCTAAAAGTGTATTCGGAAATGCAAACACCGGGATACATGACACAAAAAAATCATTTAAAATATGGATACTCAAATTCATTTATAAAAGAGTATCGCAATATGTATCAGAAATATATTTGGGAATTGACAAGTATTTGAAGATATAAATACACGGTTACATTTTGACGGGGCAGAACTACTGAAGTACATTTTTTTTAAACGAAAGAAAACATTTTCAGATGTCAGCATCCCTATTATCAGTAATAAGTTACTATTCAAAAAACAGCAATAAAATTCCCGTCTGAAACACATATTAACTTTTATATTGTAGCAATACAAAAAAAAAATAAATTCGACTGTGCTGCTACACTCAATTATATTTGAGGAGGAGTAGATTTTGTCGAACCACCGCTGCTGATTTCGGCAAAGCGTCATGTTAGCCATCGTAATTAGGCTTTGCACAGGTGCCAGAGAACACCGTCTCCCCTATACTAAGCGAACCAAAAACCACTTTCACACTAAAAACACGTTTTAAAGCATGCAAGGGTATAGTGCTCCAGGTAAATAAAGGCTTTCGCTCGGAGGTAGTAATGGATAAGTTCAGTAAACACTGCTCTCACATCAAATACAAAAAAGAGGCTTTTTAGCAAAACAAAATTAAAAAGTCCGTACTAAACGTGAGATGTTGATTGAACATGGGCGTTCTCAAGTTTGAAATAATTTTAGCATGCAATTGGCATTTTGTTTTTACTCTGTTGACTAGGTTGGTCCTTCACAAAGTTGGACTATCCGTCTAGAATAGAGAGCAGTTCTTCTTTAGGCACCGTGTACCCCAACAGGTCAACATCCTCTAGTTCGATCCCAGCGCCCTTTCCTGTAATCATTTCAAGATGTCGCTTTAAAATGAACTGGTATCTTTATCTGATGATCTGAAGGCAGAATTTTGTTTTTACCTTATTGAAAGTAATGGGCACAGGGAGTGGAGTATACACTTGTGAAGCTTGTCGGTCGGCTAACTGAAACCCCGGAAGAAATAAGTTATCATTGCATAATAGGGAAGGGGGTCACGAATCTTAAAGACTTAATGTTTGATAGAAACCATGATCTGCTTAATAGCACAGCCTCAAGGCCCTATTCACTCACTGCACTCGTCACCCCATCAAAAACACATTAAAAAAAAAAAGAGCAAAAAGAGCAAACGATTGCATCAGCTTTCGTGTGGAGGAGGACAACGGTTCCTCAAGAATTGTAACGAGATACATTGGGCCATGCTTGTACCGCGAAACGAGGAATACACGAACAATGTATTCCGATACAGAAATACAGATACACTCATCGAAAATCGTATCGCGATACGGAAATATAAATGCAAAATGTATTTCTGAATTGCTGTCGTGATACATTTGTATCGCTATGCTGCCCAACCCTGACCCCTGAAGTTCTTTTCGTTTTTTTCTTTGAAGTGTACGCGATGTGCACTTACTGGAATTCGAACCCCATACGGCTGTTTTTATGAAGCCAGGAAGTTGCGGTTACGCATCTAATACCTCGTCTGTGGACGGTGCCTAATGCATGTTTCTTCCTTGTATCAAGGTCCGGTAACATTGATCATGCAAAAGCTGTCCGCAGACGTGTTCGAATCGTACGAATGTATGAATCGCCAAAGTGCTTTGGGCATGCTTATGGCGAAGTGCGCAGATATTTCTGTAATCCTGTTGGTGGCGAACATCTCGTACATCTGTATGATGTACGAGACGAGGGACTCCGCGTCTTCAAGGAGTTTGAGCAGAGCGTTACCTGGCGCTGGCTACCGCGGGGGGACATGTGATATAGCCCCCCGTGCGCGCTTGAGGGCGATCGAAAGCTTGAGAGTATATCGAATCCTGGACACAAGGGTCACACTTATAAGAGTAGTGGGGTCATGCGAGGCCGTCAGGGATTATAGCTTCTTTAAATAATTAAAAGCGCCGAAAAAGACAAGGACAAAGAAGTGGAACGACACAAGGCGCACTCGCAACTGTGGTTTATTTCGAAAAGTACATGCATTTATAGGCCCCATAACCCTGTCAGTCATCCGCGTGTCCCTCGTAACGCTCCTTTCAAATAATCAAACTCACCCTTTGCCAGGGCGAGTGACGCTTCACTTACACACTCAACGCCCTTATCCTTAATGGCATACGCCTCTCTGCTTGTTCGGTCGCGATAACGAGCCAAAATTTTAATGTCTAAAATCTTAATGTCTTAATGTCTAAAATCTTAATGCGCTTTTAATTATTTAAAGAACCATGAACCAACTGGCTCAACTTTCCACTTTGCTGCGATTATAGCTTATCTCTCTGCACGTCAGGGACAGCACCCCAAGACATGTTACTGTTGCCGCCAAAGAATGTGCCCTAATCGGTTACTGGGTGGTTGACCGCGCGCGCATGCGTAGAACAAAGCTTGATTATCCGTGTTGTCCACCGATAATGGGCGAAAACAAGCGTGTTTGGGAAACATGTATTAGTGTTGTACGAAATTCAGGTACATCGTTTTTGAGAGTGCGCCGTGGCCACTTGAGTGTATCTTCTTTTCAGAATAAACCTTTTTGTGTTATTTTTTTTTGTGTTCAATATGTGGTGCTTAACAGACCGCATTAATTCGTTCTTTGTTTTGTGCTTTGCAGGTGAGTACCTGGAGTCAATGCCCACCTGACATTCTTCCATCGCCAACCGTGTTGGGACTTTGTGAGTACGGTATCACTCACTCCCCCACATACGCGAGCTGATGCACGTCAAACATGGCGGCATCAGCCATGTTTGATGGCTGATGCTGGAGACTCGGATATATAGAGAGAGAGCAGCGACGAAAGAAAGCAACAGACGTAGATATCTTCTTCGTGTGCACTTGTGTCGTCGTACTTTTTCCCAGAAAACCCTAACTGCATCAAGAACAACAAGTTCATACGTTATTTCCCTCGGGCAGTCACGTTTTCAAATGGAGAACTATCGACGCGAGACCATCTTCAAAAGTCCGCGCCATCGCCGGTCCGCCATTGCTTGATCACCTGCTCTGAGCATGTATTGGACAGGACCGCTGCGTCTGCGTTCGGCGATGACTCGGGTCCAATCACACACTACGTGCCCCATGAATGGATGGATGGATGTTAAAGCTACCGCCCTTTGTAATAGGTGGCAGCTTGCGCCACCTAGCCTAGGTCTAAAAAGACCAAACAAGCAATGGTGACAGCCAATGATGCTCGACGACCTCTTGAAAAGGGACAGTTACCACCGCTCTGCAGTAGGCACAAAAATGGCGGTTTCCACAAGACGATCGTAGAATGAATTGCCGTTACTTTAAATAAACGTGTAGCTTATCTAATGGCTTGAGGAGTGCCTGTAAGCCTCGGGCTGGCCCTCTCGGGCCATCTCCGCATCCGACCGCGAGCGGCCGGCCAATGGAGCGCCCAATCGCGCGTCTAATCGTGCGTCCGATGACGTCTGTCCGCAATGTTTTTGATCTCGGCTTTCCCTCGGGGCGTGACAGCGCGGTCTCCGTCGTGCCGCTCCGCCGGGCATGCCCGAAATAGCCCCGCGATCCCCACGGCCGCCCAGCCGTGACGCCGGATTACCCTAACGGGGCAGCGCTGCTCCGCGGAGCGCACCGCGCGTTGGTCACGCCCGTTCGGGTCGTTCGAATCCAGCGCGACGTCGCCGAACGAGGAAGCGGAGCTTTAAGAAACCCAGGGCGTGTCTTATTTATGTTCACGCCCCTTGCTCCGTGGTTGGTTCTTCAGTTTTCTCATCGGTAAATCCCGCACTCTGATTGGGTGCCGAGCGATAATTAGATGCGCGGGACTGCCCGCACCTCGCCTTTCTTACTGTCAGTGACTTGGATAGCAAAGCCGTAGTGCTATGGTGCACCCTTGAACGATTCTCCGACTGGTGCGTTAGCCGCGTCCCAAAAGGTCATGCTGTCGCCGGTCGCGATCCTGGCGGCGTCCCAACAGCTGTGGTCCTTGTGGCACATACCTGTTCTGCAGCGGGTCTCTCTCCAGTGTTGGCAGTCCGCGGAAGCGTCGACAGCCAGAAGTTGGGGCGCTGTGACGACAGCGAAACTCGCATTCGGTCATGCTACTTACAGCTTCTCGTTAGGATTTCTACGACCAACTGCCAGGATCGCAACGGGCAACAGCATGACACTTCGGCTTCTGTGACGTCATTCGTTATTACTTCGGGACCATTTTTGTCGCCTTGGCGGAATAGGACGCTGAACACACCAGTCGCAGAGACGCGTTCTGGGTACTGTATAGGAGTGCTGAATTTCCTGCGTCAACTATGCAAGGCGCCAACGCTGGGCTCGGATTATACACACGTGTTTTAGCGTTCGCCCGCGAGACTCGTGCTCGATGAGCGAGTGTACGAGTGACACCCGAACGCGTACGCGGAATTCGTTTCTCGATCTGTGCCCTGTATTATACAGAGAGTGTCCAACCGCTCGACCGAGGTCACGTTGTTTATGGGCCGCATTTTGCAACGCGAGCTGCGAGGAGGTGCCCTAAAGCGTTGGTCGTCTGCAAATGCCTCCGCCTTTCCGGCTGCTTTCCTCCTCGCCACGCGAAAACGTTAATAATAATGATAATAATAATAATAAACCTAAAACCACGCGAATAATAATAATAGTAATAATAATGATAAGTCGTTTTATTTTCACCAATGTACTTCGTTGGAGGCGACCAAGGAAAAAAGGCTGCGTCCAGACAGCTTGATGGGTCCTTGGCCCCCTTATTTGAGCAGGAAGCGTCTGTCGTTAAAAAAGTTGGGAAACGATTTTTTTTTTTTTACTACCGCTAAATACTATTTAGAATCACTCTTACGTCAATAACTGAATAAACTTACCGTAGTTTTTCTTCGAAGGCAATGGCAGTCGCCAAACAAGAATCGAGAAATATGAGCATCGTTCATCCCCTCAACTCGGAGCCAGAACAAGCGGCCACGTAGCCTGGTGATTATCCTATACCGCCAACGTTTAATCATAGCCACACGCTGGGGTCGGCAAAGTAGAAAACGCGTGCTGAGCTCCGGGCACTTGCGCCGCTCGCGTCAACCTTTCCCGCTGTGCACCATCTCGTGTGCGTCGAGCTTCGCCGCTTTTCATTAGTGTGCTAGGAGCAGCGGCTAACATGGGGGAATCCCTAGGGCAGACCCGTATACAAAGAGAGTTTGGGAAATGGCAGGAGCGGGCAGAGCCAGCGCGTGCAGCAGACGCAGACAGTGGGCTTGACATGCTCACTTGGCCGACCAGAAGCCAAAAATAATATCCTAGTGGTGGCAACGAGAAACACTTTTAATAAGTGCCTAAGAGTTCAATGTAGTAACTATTCGTGGTTGAAAATAGGGTGCTCGTGATGTTTCGTTTATGATCATGCAGAAAGATGGAAGAAGCGAACGTGACGTTCGAACTCTGTTCTGCTCGAGCGGTGTCCGACCGCTCGGACGGCGGATGCCTGGCCCACAACGCCTGGCGCGTGCGGATTACGTGCCGTGATTGAAACACTAGGTGCCCTATATTTTTGGTCACCGAGAGTTACTCCGACGCACTTATTAATTTTGTTTCTCGCGACCACCGCCAGGGTGTTATTCGCGGCTCTTGGTCGGCCCCATATGAATTTGTGAACGCGCCTTGGAACACACCCAGCCCGCTTTCGGCCAATGGCGCCTCCTCATTTGCCTCCTATACTTTCCAGCGAATGGTCAAACTCTTTCCATATACGGTTCTGTCCCGGGGGTAGCACAAAGGGCTCGGAAATTATGTTCAGTTATTGTTGTTGTTGAGTGTTGTTACACACGGCAAGAGAGGATGCCTGCACATAATGTTAGCCTCCTTGGGCAGGGGCAAGACTCGCACAAGCGGGGAAAGAGGCCGAGAAAAGAAGAGAAGAGGGGTTGGGGGGTGATTCGGTCACCAATCTCTGGAGGAGTAGGGTCGAATAATAAGGCTATTTTCTTGAGGGAAAGGGGACACTGCAGAACTGTCTTCTGGTATATGGAGATCACAAATTAGTCGATGACAGTTGAGACGAGAAGACTTGGCGGGTCTAGGTGGCGGGCCGGTAGGCTAGAGGCGCGTTGCAAGTCCAGTAGCTTGGAGGTACTCAAGAAGAGATTTATAAACAAGTTCTCTTCTTCGTCGACCTCCGATTGGAAAAGGGATTTCGTTATTTTGAGTCACAGTTGTGCTGGCACTTAGGATGGTGGTAAAAAAAGGACCATGAAGCTTGATCGTAGTGAGAGCAATTTAAGAGGACGAGGTCGAGGTCCTCTGGGACATTGTATCTGGCACAGTTGGGTGTACTAGACCTGGAGATCTTGTGAAGTGTCGTTGATGTGTATATTTATATTAGTATCAAAGAGGAAGCTTCAATCATGATCAGATAAACTTATTTAGCGATAAAATTTTTTTTTTAAATTTATATGCTATGAGATATTGACATTTACTCTAAAGTCGTCAGGGGCTGCTACAGACACCAATATTTTACCTGCTGCAAAATCTGCTGCGAAAGCTCAAATACCGCTTCCACCAACACTCATATCATTATTACCGAAAAAACTTAGAGCGTCCTCACAGTGCACGGTTGGAGTATTGTATAGAAATATAAAATTACGTTTAGCCCAATTGGTGCAATGTGGCATCCTGCACACACGGCTGTCCATATTACCCTATTTACTCGAGTAATTTCCGCACTGTTTATGTACAAGGCCCCTGCGTCTACTTCTCCACAGAACACATATACAGCCAAACATTGCATTGCGCATAAATAACACAGCGAATAACCAGATCGAGAACAAGGTTCTCCATACAAATGCAATCTTCACAGATGGTAACTTTGCGCGAAGACGTTATCTCTGTCCTGTAAACCGCTGGAACCATGCTGTCGATAGCGGTGATTGGCCATCTGAGTGCTCCACGGAAAAGCGAACCCTCAGGTTTTCTTTATAAACAGTGCGGCTATTACTCGAGTATATACGGTAATAATTTATTTATTCTTGATGTTAATATCTTGCACTATCCAACCATATTTCTCACGTCTCCAATACAATATATAGTATAAATAAATAAAATATAAAACCCGGTTTTTAGGGCGCATATATAAGGATATACAGGTTCTGGTGCTCTAAAGATCCGCACTCACTTGTCGAAACGTGGACCAATCAATATGAAGCTTTCTGCGGACTGTCATTTTGATTGCAGTCCAGAATGAACGCTCTCCCCCTAATTATCGCTCATCCGATATTTGTCACCATTTAGCTCTTCACCATGGGTGGGCATTCATTTGGGATTTCATGGTGTGCGATGTGGCGCTGTGAAGGTACCGTTTCTTTTGATGAAACATCTCGGGCGTTTCCGGGTGACTCAAGTTGTGCTTTTTCGGTCTTGCAAGAGCCGTCCCCGCTTGACACGATGGTTCAAATGAATGTTCGTTTTTCGTTTCTCGCGTTCTCCCGTGGTGCCCCAATTCGTGCTGTATTCAGATGTCGGCCTAAAGTTAGAATTATTCTCTCTTTTAGTGCTTGTGAACTCCTTCGGTGTAATTCGCTCAAATAATTACATGGCGACGCCCTCTTTTTTTCTTTATTTCTTTATTAAATGACAAAAAAAAAAGAAGAAATTGGAGATGTTGGCTGCCGTGAAGGCATGGCCGGCTACTCCACATTCACTTACTCGGTAAGAAAAAAAATTAGAACATCCCCCATGACCCCGTATACATTCTACCCCCCCCCCCCCCCAACAACTATTTTCCCGCAAACAGAAACAGTCAATTTTGGGTTACATTGAGTCCACTTGAAATGTCACACGATCAGTCAAACAAGTTCGGTCTTTTACATGTCACATTCCTTATCACGCCACAATTTTCACCGAGCATGTAAAGTTATTCAA